GCTATGAGATTTGCGTTCTTGTCGTCTGATTCTAGTCCGTGATAATCACAAAAAGGTCTATGTTCATACTGGCGACGGTTTTGCCAAGGACTTTTGCAGAATAAGGAATAACCTGTTACGGTCCCGCAGAGATTATGACGATCACGATATGCACAGATGAAGTTCAAAATCCCGGCCGAAGGTTGGTTTTTGGCACAAATCCAAGGCCAAGTTTTGCTAGGCACATATTCTTTCTAAGGGTCATCATATCAAAATACGAGTCTCGAACACCCGATTTGATTAAACCTTGCCGTAGGTAACGTATGAACGTGTAGTAATCACATACTGCAGCTATCTGAAAAAAAAAATCTACAAGTCAAGAATTCATGCTTCTCTGCAGAAAATAAGCAGATAAATAAATTACCCTATTTCTTGCTAATAATGATATTCTGTGCCATTCGGCGTCTTCCGCAACTCTTACCCGATAAGGGCAAAATCTCGACACATTCGTTAGGGCACAAGGCCTAAATTACCAATAAAAATTGAAAACTTGGTCATTAGATTTTGAAAAGGATCGCGACTTACATGACTGATGGCTTGCTTTCGTGTACAGGCTCTAGTTCTAATTTATTCGCAGCGATAGAGTCGAGAATTGCATCGGAGAGCTGAAACGCAAGACTACGGTAATGGGACAGCGGGAGTACGGTGAGTATACGGTCGCAAACAAACACTCACATCTTTTGCTGGGAATAACATGCATGGTGAGATCTCTTCAATGTTAATGCGATCCATGAATGGATGATTTACAAATGGATGACCAGCTTCTCGCCATGACGTGAACTCGGACATCAATATTGGATCAACCTGAAACTCGTCCACTTTTGCCAATATAAAAAATCATAAAACAAGATTTACTTCTTCAACGAGATCTGCTTGCTTCTGTTCCGTTTCCTTTTCTCGCTCTCTTGACAGATGTGCTGTAGACGGTGGCATTGTAGAAGATTTTCTTGGTAGAACTGCTCCAGATGAACTCGATCGTTTTGCAGAAGCTGCAAAAACGATATATAACTAATCAATATATTGATCAGTCGATGTACTGGTCAACTTACACGATGTTGAAAACAACTTTGCCAGTGCAGATTTGTGTTCAGGTGAAGTGTGCAGAAAGTGGTTGTGGCCCATTCCGGGAGTTTGTACAAGCACCTTCAGAGCTGCAACCTCTGCCGATAGGACCTCCACCTAAAATAGATATATTCATGTCCTCCCAAAAAATACAGGAACGTATAAAAATATAAAAAGTGGGTGTTCTTTCAGTAAATAGAATCAGGGTCATTAAGTTTGGAAAATCTTTTCTTTTCCGAAAGAACAAGTTTTATATTTCATAAAGTCTACAATCTATAGGGATGGTGTTTGAGCAGTGACACTTTGAGTACTTAAAAATGCATTTCTAACATTGCGCTCTAAGTGAACCAAAGCATTGGCAGTGTTTATGAAAAGGAAGCTGAAAGTGCTAAGCATGTGCAATGCTGGTTTCGAGGAAACGGAACTTTTGAACATTTAGATTATTTTCGAGCCAGCCGAACGAAAGCAATAAACGCAAGATTAAATATGAAATCTTCTGACATGGATTTACGAAAAACTGTTTAACTTGCAAGGTAACAGTAGGTCTAGCAACATGGTACAGAGATTAGATATAGGAAAGGTCAAAAAGGTGAAAAATAAGTGCCTCAAACATGGCCCAACAGCAGCAAGACATGCGACTTAAATTCTTCTCCCCGATCCTAAAAGTTTGCAAAGCTGTAATGGAGAATTGCTGAGGATGGCAGCTGGGTATATGTTGACAATCCAGACAAGAAAAAATTATGGTGCAATCCCGGAGCAGTACGAACTA